GTGGGAACACAGCTCCAGGGCCTCCCCTGCTGCAAGGGCTGTGCACACACACCCAGGGATTGATTTCCTCCTCATGCTCTGCCTGGCTCCCTGAGTTTTGATTAACAGAGAGAACAAACCTGGAGAAGCCCCAGAGTCCTGCTGGGAATGCCCTGGGAAGCTGAGGAAGGTTCCACATGTCCCAGCTGAAGTGGGGACACCCTCCTTGGGCAGCCCCTTCCCCTGGGAGCCCCAGTTCTCCCCCAGAGCCTGTGGAGTCGAGTCCCAGCTGTAATTACAGCCAAGGAGCAATAGCCAGGTTGCCTTGTCTTTCCAATTAGCCTAATAAGGCTTCTGTGCAAGACGGATTTGAATTACTAAGAAGCTTAAATAAATTTGGTCTTGGAATCACAGCTAGAGATGGGGCTGAGCCGGGTGTGTAATCCTCCCAGGAGATTCCCTGTGCTCTGCTCCTCTCTGCTCCCTCTTTCCCTCCCTCTGGCTTTCCAAGGGCCCATCTGTGCCACCTCCTCTTCCAGGAGCAAAGTCACTTGGAGCTGAAGAGCCTTTAAAAGCTTTGGGATTGGGCCATAATCCCAAACTGCTCTGAATTTGGGAAGATTGATTAGGAATAAAGCCTCTGCCCTGACTGTGTCAAGCTCAGCCTCCTTTTGCAGGAAGTAAATTATCCAGCTCCCACTTTGAATGGATTCAGGAATATTTCATACAGATCTCTGAGACGATCAAATTAATTTAAACAGAATAATAAAGGAGGAGGCTAAAATCCTGCAGGCCTGGGCTCAGCATTCCCAACTCCTGCCCCTGCAGAGGGCAAGAATGGAGGGTGAGGCCACTCCCAGAGAGACCAGGCTGTTGTTTGGGAAGGTTGGGAAGGCAGCAGGGCTGCTCCCCGTGGAGCCAGTGCCTGGGGACAGGGACAGGGACAGGGCTGGGGTGGTAGGGGGAGAGTGGGTGCCAGGGGCTTGGTGGGAACAGGGAGCAGGTCTGGGGCTCTGCCTGCTCTGCTGCTCGTGCCTGGGAGCTGGGATCACCCCCTGGGATCCACGATAACCCCCTGGGACCTGGGATAACCCCCTGGGATCCACGATAACCCCCTGGGACCTGGGATAACCCCCTGGGATCCACGATAACCCCCTGGGACCCGGGATAACCCCCTGGGATCCACGATAACCCCCTGGGACCTGGGATAACCCCCTGGGATCCACGATAACCCCCTGGGACCCGGGATAACCCCCTGGGATCCACGATAACCCCCTGGGACCCGGGATAACCCCCTGGGATCCACGATAACCCCCTGGGACCCGGGATAACCCCCTGGGACCCGGGATAACTGCCCGGGATCCAGGATATCCGGGATAACCCGCTCCCATGTCTGTCCCAGGTGAGCCAGCTGAGCCGGCACTTCAACATCCGGCCCTTCTCCCTACGGAAACCCACTCCGGACTGACTGGGAGCAGAGGAGGAGAAAATCGGCCTGCGGGCTGCAGAGGGACTGTAAATACCTGCTGCAAATACCTGTAAATACTTCAGCCATCACCACAGATCAAACTTTCCTCTGGACAGGGCCAAGGACACGCGGGATCCGCTGCAGCCGGGCCGGGGCGGGGCCGGGCCGGGGCGGCTCCTGCTGCTCTTCCATCCCTGCAAGCTTCGGGTTTTGGGTGGAGCTGGAGGAGGAGGAGCCTTTCAGGTCGCTGTTACTGTACCTTAGACCAGCTGAATGTTCCCAGAGAAGCCTCTGACTCCAGCCCTTGCTCAGGGAAAGCTGCTTGGGGATGCAAATGCTTTACCTGAGCAAAGCACCTTGGCCTGACACCAAAACCAACACAGCTGATTGCTCCAAGGGCAGGGGGACATCCTGGGGTGGATCCTGGCTGTCCCCAGTCCTGCTGTCTGGACAGCCCCTGTGCTGGGCTGGTACTTTGGGAGCAGATGGTGACAGTTCTCCCACATTCTGTCCTGCCTTCCTGCTTTTGGGCAAATACTTGCTAGCACCTTTGTTGTCTTTTTGTTTTCTTCTTTTTTTTTTTTTTTTTTTTCCCTTAAAACGGGGGAAAAAAAAAGACAAGACACTCAAAACGTGCAGTTCAATCCTAATTGGGGGGCCTGGAAAATCAGGGTTCAATTTCCCAAAGCAATGGGAACGTGGCTTCTGCATGTTGTGTGGTACCTGGGGCCACAGCTCACCGTGTTCCTGTGTGTCCATGTGTGTTCCCAGTCTGGGAATGGGATCTGGGCTCTGGAAGGTGGCTGAGACTGCAGAACCAAGCTCTCCCCGTTCCTACCAGCATGGATTTGCTGTCGTGGGTTGGCTCCGTGGGTTCCTTCCTGCTGCCTGAGCCCCTTTTCCACAGCCAGGAACAGCCTGGCCCTTCCCAACTGCAATTCCACCACTGGGAGAAGCACCTGAAGCCCAGGTTTGGTCCTGTGTGCACCCTCAGGATGCTCCCAGGGGTGGGAACCTTTCCACATCTCCCTCTCTTTGTCCCCAGCACCCGCGTGTCTCATCTCTTCGTTTACTGTCCTCTTGTCAAAGCTGTGTTTGCGTTGATT